GCTGGGGGGAAAAACGTCCCATGAGGTAGGTAGGAGTGAGCTTTCCATAAGTTTCAGCAGCTGTACTGTACAACCTGAAAGACTCCCCTCGTGTGTCCTGTGCACTCTGGGAAGACCACACAGGGTGTGAGGAGGTAGGTAGGAGTGAGCTTTCCATAAGTTTCAGCATCTGTACTGTACAACCTGAAAGACTCCCCCCATGTGTCCTGTGCACTCTAGGGAAGACCACACAGGGTGTGAACCCTGGTGGAAATGGCAACAACGGTCTGTCTGCTGGGGACATTTAGCTGCCTGCCAATCCACCAAGAAATGTGCCCCCTAGTAGGAGAGTGGGGGGTGTGCTGCCTGAGCTATTCTCAGATTCTTGTAGTCCACAAAAGTAACATTTCCCATCTCTGAGGTAGACACTTCTAAAATCTCAATGTAAGTACCCTTTTTGCCTTCTCTCCCTTCATTAGGTTGGTGCCATGAGAAATTCCTTACACAGAAAACTGCCAGTATTTGGGGGTGGGGGAAGTCAACATGTCAAACAACTTCATAATTGAGCCGGTTCATGGTTTCATATGGTTTATATTTTATTTCTATTATTGTTGCATATGGTTTTGAACATTCTTCTGGATAAGTGCATGTGTAAACAAAAAATAAATAACACAAATAATAGTGTAGCCTATTATTAATGGCATGCGGCTGTTTTAGTTTTGTTGTACTCAGTTAAAGCTGACGTGTTCAGCCTGAAAATGATGTTGCCCACAAGCCTGTTAAGCTGTTTGATTCATGTTGCTTTGATTTTAATAAACTTAGCCTTTCTTCTAGCTCTGATAAAAACTAGAGTATGACATTCTTTAGAATGCAGAGTTGGGATATTCTTTATTTCTTCACAACACACGTGGGAGAGAAAGGAATGTCTGTAAACAACCTACTATTATGCACTGGAATTCATTTAATCTGGGACTGCCTCCTAATTTACAGCTATAAAGGAATTATAAGGGAAATTTTAAAACGCTAACAAACCTCACAGGAAGCATGGATTTTACACGGGGTGGTCCATTCATGTGTTTTTGAGATCTCTACCTTGGAACTATAAAGCTGCACTCCTATACACACCTGGCACTGAGTCCCACTGAACTTGTGGTCAACTTCTGGATCAGGACAGGAGGTTCTGAGTCCCATCAAACTCATGGACAGCTCATGGACTCTGTTGCAGACACCCACTTCTCCCTCATAACTTCTTCCTCCACCATCAGTTATTTTTCTCACTGTTCTTGTTGTCCTACAACGCCTTTCCGTCTCTCTCCTGTACTCCTTCCTTTCCCTCTTCCAGCCCTTTCATTCCTTCTTTCCCTTCTGGCTCCATCTCCTCTGCTCTTTGCTCTTTTCCTGGGGTTTCTAGTGTTTGGGGGCATTCAGGAGAGTCCATTCCCACCTTTTGTTCTCTCATGTCTATGGGAAAGCTGCAAGTGATAAATCCCTTCATTTTGGCCAGGAGAGGAAATGGCACTTCAAGGGTGTTAGAGATCATCATGTGTTGTGACCAATTATCCTCAATGAGCTAAATTAAGTACAGAGTCAAAAACATGGAGTTAACTTGTAATAATTTTAGAAAAGCTGAATAACCCTCTAAAGCTGGATGGCATGGATGTAAGTGTGGCTGGAGAGTGAGCCATTATAGCATGCACTCAGGCAATCTCCGTCTTGGAAAAGGGCCCTTCTCCAAGGAAGAAGGCACACAAGAGGACGGGCAGGAAGTGACCAATGCACAATAGTGCCCCAATACCAGGGTAGAACTGAGTGCTTGGCAGAATCATCCACTGCATCCTGGGACACAATTGAGCCGCATACTCCAACAGATGGGAGGGTCTCCCTCCACATCTCTTTTTTTGCACAATCTAAAAAAAAAAGATTTAAAAAAATGGATTTGTAGTTTGGCATCCATCACAATGCTATGTGTTGTCTTGTGACAGATTCACATTCCCCATAGTAAATACCCACACAATGTCAAATCCCACTCTCTCAGAAGTATGTATGTCAATTTGAAATGTATTTGTCTATGTACAGACTGCACACTCTGAACTTTTGTTGTTGTTGAAAAAGCTACCCTTCCCCCTGAAAAAACAAGACCTAACCTGAAAATAAGCCCTAGTATGATTTTTCAGGATGTTCATAATACAAGCCCTATCCCCCAAAATAAGACCCAGTTAAGTAAAACCCCGCCCTCCACCATTGTGCAGCAACCAGAAGATGACGACTGTATTTGAATAAATGTAGATTGTTGTACATGAGAAAAATAAAACATCCCCTGAAAATAAGCCCTAATGTGTTTTTTGGAGCAAAAATTACGGTAATATAAAACTCTTATTTTTGGGAAAACACGGTAGATCTCCTAAAAACTAAAATAAAACCAGAACCACCACTGCAAAAATGCAAGATGGCAATGATAGAGTAACAGTGTAAGGATGTCCTATGAAAAGTAAGTGAACTAGAAAGCATACCCAGCTAAATACTTAGGACTGAATCAAACTACAGTGGTCTTATAGTATTATATCAATAAGAAGATGATTAAGTCAATGCTTGCCTGAGTTTAATTTATTTAATGGGCCTATAATAGTCTAAGCTGGCTGCATAGCTCAGTGGTTGAGGTATCTGGCTGTGGAACCAGAGACTGAGAGTTTGATTCCTCTTTGTGCCTCTTCCAACTACTGTAGAGCCAGCCTGTGTGGCCTTGGGCAAGCTGCACAGTCCCAGGGTGCCCCCCAGAGAAAGGAAATGGTAAAGTACTTATGTGTATTCTCTACCTGGAAAACCCTGAAAAAAGGTTACCATAAATCAGAATTGACTTGATGGAATATGACTCTTATAGTTGTTGTTGTTTAGTCGTTAAGTCGTGTCCTACTCTTTGTGACCCCATGGACCAGAGCACGCCAAGCCCTCCTGTCTTGGACTCTTATAGTAGTCTAAACTAAAACTTGATTTAGGGCTTAGGCCCTAGCGCAGAAGTACACTTAGCTGGCTGACGTTCTTTTAACATGTCATAAAACCCACTGTCAGATTAGCAGTCATTTGACTAAATGGAAACATGGCCTCAATCAGCCTTACAGATGTTTTATGCAATACTGGAGCCTTTGTGTGATCCCATTAGAACAAGGTAGAAGACAACATGCAACTGCTTTTTTTAAAATAGAAGAAAAGACATTAACTCATTACTTTGAGGAGACCACAATGTGGTCTGGTGGTATTTTATCCTTTTTTTCTTTTGCAAAAAGGAATAACATGTTGTGCAGTATATTGTTACCAGAAAATTACAGGGATATTCTTTAGTGGCCGTTCTTGATATAGTGCCTAGAAAAATACTTTTTACAGAAATATCATCATGTCCTGTGAGGTTGATTCCAACTTATGACTCTTCCCAGAGTTTCCTACGTATGAAGTACGCAGAAATGATTTACCGTTTCCTTCTTCTGAGACACTCTTCCCAGAGTTTCCTACGTATGAAGTCCGCAGAAATGATTTACCGTTCCCTTCTTCTGAGACCACTCTGGGGCCGTGCAGCTTGCCCATGGCTACAAAGGTTGGCTCTTCTCCTATAGGGCACAGTGGGGAGCTTTGGCCCCCAGGTGCTCCATGTTGTTGAGCTTTTTTAGCCAGTGTTTACGAAAGCACAAAAAGATGAAATAAAACGATGCTGCTCTTGCTATTTAGGGTTGATAAGAGAATGGCTTAAAACCTGGAAAATTCCCCTGGAAAATCAGGCTTCTGACCCACACAGAGAACCCTCACAAACCTTCCTCAGACGTGTTGCCTTCCACATATAGGAAGGTGATGAAACGAGGGGTGGCATACCGACTGTGGCCATGAATAGAGGTAACTCCCTCCCCCCCTTCCAGGAGGTTGGCTGGGAGAGAAGGCAAGACCGCTTCAGCTCCCATGAAGGAAACTCAGGGGAACCATCATTTAGTGGTGACATGCGCACAATCACCGGTGACAATTTTAATAGTACTCCCTTTCACAAACGCAAGTTCGCCAATCTGAACCTGTCCAATAAGTGAGCACTACTTTTTTTAAAAAAAAGTACTAAGCCTCAGTTTGTGCTAACTACGCCTCACGCAGGCGACTTTGCTTGTAAAACTTGGGCACGGTCTGGTTAACGAGGTTGCAAACGGCTAACCAGCCCCTCCTCCTGTTCCTTTAGCCCCAACTTTGTTCTTCAGATTGACAGATGGCAAATCTCTCTCCAGGTCTTGATCGGCTAATTTTAGTTCCTGCAGACCAAGCTTCTGTCAGACTGAGCCAGGATCCACGCCGCTGCCCAACGAGCGAGGGTTCCTGGCTCTACCGAGTCTGGAGTTTCTATAATCACGGCAGCTTTGTTGGCTTGTTTGCTTTTTAAAATTGCCACGCTCTTAAACCAGTTGAGGTGGGTGGGCTATAACTCTTCCATGCAGTCAAGTCGATGAGTCTTCCCCCCTACCTACCTCTCGCCCCCTTGTTCCCCCCAGGCTTCGGTGCACTTCAGGGCTTTGCTAAGAAAAGCCCAGAAAAGGTTATCCAACAGTTGGAGCCCTGACGATCAAGGCGGGAATCGGACAAGTGTCGATTCCGAAAAGAAAAGGGGCTGCAATAAGAATCTGAAAG